GGCCACTACAATAGCTCTACATCCACATGGTCACCTGGCCAATTTCGCGCACCCCTCAAGCGCATCGTGCCCCCATGAGGACTTCCGCTTCAGGCCCCAGCGACAGGACCCGCATGTTTGCCCAGCCCATTTCAGGGCACACCTCACACGCTTTTTGGTCGCAAAGGTAGGAAGCTCTACGGCAAGGTCCGCATGACTACCCGCCCAATTTCGGCGCACCCCTCACACGCTCTGTAGTCCCCTGAAAAGCCCCTAAGAAAACCCAAGTGGCAAGATCCGCATGGTTACCCGGCCAATTTCGGCGCACACCTCACACGCTTCGTGACCTCATACAGAGCTCCACCGAAGGCCCAAGTGGCTGCGGTTGCATGGGGCCCCGCTAGATTTCTAGGGCTCCCAACTTCGCGCTTCGCGCTGCGCGAAGCGCGAATAACTTCGCGCTCTCGCGCCGCCCTCCCAAAGGGAGAATAAGAGGACGAGGAGGAGGGGGAGAAGGAACAAGGACCGCGAAGCGCGAAGCGCGAATAACTTCGCGCCCTCGAGGGAGATTCAGCGTGGTTCGACGCTCTCTGCGAAGCGCAGTGCTCCCGCGCACTGAAGGGTCCTGCTTCTAGTTGCCACGGCTTGCAACAAAAAATGGTCGGGCTCTTCGACGGGCTAACGTTCCGATGCTGGAGGAGCAGCATCAGCGGCGAGGTGGGCCCTGGAGGCCGAAGCGGCGAGGACAAGAAACGACAGAACGACGCCGCCGTGGAAGAGCTCATCTCGTCGCAGCGAACGACGGATGAGAGGAGGAGGAGGAGGAGGAGGAGAGGGACGAGGAGGGAGGAGGAGGAGGAGGAGGAGGAGGAGGAGAGGAGGAGGAGGAGGGGGCCCACTCGTCGTAGCCGATCTCCCCGTCCCCGTCCACGTCCAGGAGGTTGCTGAAGTCCGCGGCTGGCCTGGTGGCGGCCCGCCCCTCAGGGCCACGGCTCAAGCCTCGCCGCCCCGGCTGCAAACCACCTCCCCTCGGCCAGCCTCCCCTGACCCTTTTCTCCTGCCCCTGCTTCTGCTCCCGCTCCTCCTCGAGTAACTACCAAGCAATCGGGACCGAACCCACCACGTCCCCCGACGGTGGTCAGAGTTGGCTGCATCATGTGTCACGGTGTTGCTGTCATGTAATGCTTTCGGCCGGCGCACAGTTTTACGCTTTCGTCGCGCAGCGATGCAACAAATGTTGCGTTGTGTTGCGCGTCTGGCAATTGCGTACCCAATTATTTACGAGGAGGAGGAGGAGTCCTCGTCCTCCTCGTCCTCCTCCTCCTCCTTCACCCCCCCTGCCCCCCGAACTTCCAGGTCATTAGGTCATTGAAAAACACAGCGGATTGGATCCGTCATTTAGGGCGCCTGTGCGTCCTCGCCAGGCCCCGGAACTGCTAAAAGCAGCAATGCAGAACGGAACACAGATCATCCTTAGAAACTGACGCAGAGCTCCAGGGACCCCGTATCGAAAAAATCTGAACATCGGAGGTCTGGGCCCATCTCCCCCCTCCTCCTCCTCCTCCTCCTCCTCCTCCTCTTCTTCTTCTTCTTCTTCTTTTTCTTCTTCTTCTTCTTCTCAGAATTAGTATTCTTCCTCATCCTCATCGTCATCGTCATCGTCATCGTCATCGTCATCGTCGTCGCCATCGTCATCGCCGCCGTCGTCCTCCGCCTCCTCGTCCTCCTCCTCCTCCTCCTCTTCTTCTTCCGCCTCCTCGTCCAGGCGTGCGTTGGCCAGAGGAGGAGGAGGAGGAGGAGGAGGAGGGGGAGGGGGAGGGGGGGGAGGGAGGAGGAGAGGAGGAGGAGGAGGAGGGAGGAGGAGGAGGAGGAGGAGGAGGAGGAGGAGGAGGAGGAGGAGGAGGTCCAGGCGTGCGTGGGCCAACCGCGGGGCCTGATCCTCACCGACTTCCGGGGGCTCCCGCCGGCCCTGCCCGGGCTCGGGCTTCGGAGGGTGCTCCGCATGCCGCCCCCGCGGGGCCCCCGGGCGCGGCCGGGGAGGGGGGGGCGCGGGCGCTTGAGGCACCTGGGGGGGAAGGAGGAGGGGGGAGAGAGGGAGGGGAGGACAGGGAGGGGAGGGGGAGGGGAGGGGGAGGGGAGGGGAGACAGGGAGGGGAGGGGGAGGGGAGGGAGGGGAGACAGGGGGTGGGGGCGCGGGCGCTCGAGGCACCCTTGGGAGGGGGGGGAGGGGAGGGGAGACAGGGAGGGGAGAGGAGAGGAGAAGGATCGGCGGTGGACAAACCTCCCTTTAGTAGACCTCCCCTTGGTGAAAACGGCCTGGGACCGAAGTCGACGGACCTGGACCCGCAAAAATGACGGCCGCGACGCCCTCTCGCGAAACGAAAACGGCCAATTCCTAAATCGACGTGTCAGGGTAGGAGGTCTGTCCACCCCCGAAAGGAGCGCTGCTGCCCTGGGCGGCAAAGCCAGGCAATTACTCGAGCAGTCATTATCCCACATAGGAGCGGCCAGCGATGTACATGAGCTGCTACCAAGGGCTGCAGCTCGCTGGAAACTGATGTGTGGAAGGCGCTGCTGCCTTGGGCAACAGTACGACACAACGAAATACTCGAGCTGTCGTTGTGCCAGAAAATGCTTGAACGACAATGAACGTTATTGGTTGGCGCATGACCCTGACTTGGACGGTCATGTCGCATTGGCACCAACATCCTAACTTCGCGCTCTCGCGCCGCCCCCCAGGGGAGAAGAGGACGAGGACTTGGAGTCGAAGCGCGAAGCGCGAATAGCTTCGCGGCCTCGAGGGCCCCCCTGGCTTCAGCAGTGCTTCCTTCTCCGACGGAAGCCGCGCCGATCAGCCCGACCCCCATCGGTGACCTGCCACAAGTGCAAACTTGGGTGCCCAGCCAACCCCCGCAGGCGGCGGCACTGATCAAGCACGCCGGATGGGTGCCACCCTTGCGCGCGGAAGAGGAGGAGCAAGGCGAGCCCTTGAGACACATATCCTGCACAAGAGAGGCACGCCGAGCTCGAATCTAGTCCGGGAAACATCCGCTCAGATTGCGGAGGGAGTCGGTGAGGATCCTCATGTGCGCACTCTCGTCGCTCGTAGGCTGCTTGGTCGAATTCAAGCACCCACGGTAGGCGCTCGGTGCGTAAAGTAAGACGCCCACCCCGCGCACGAACACGCGGCTGCGCGCCGCGGACTGTCGTCCCAGCCCGGAGTTCTTGGTCACGACGTGCGCATTGCAGAAAGTCCCCAGCCACTGCTCGCCGACGACGTACAGCGTGCCCGCAGCCCCCTGCGTCGCGTAGAAGTCCACGGTGCCCTCGTGCGCGAAGAGCGTGTCGTCGTATTCTGGCCATTTTTTCCAAGCGCGCATCCGACTGATCCGCTGCCCCTCCAAAGGTGTTCAGAAGCTCCGGCATCAGGCCAAGGTGCGGCCTCAAATCACAAATGGACCGGCACGCCCAAAATAACACTTCAACTCGGTTATTTCCCCCTGGGGCCGCCCGCTGAAGCAAAAGACATGACGTGAGAGGCCCCACGGATGACCACGTAAACTTGAATGCCAAGTACATGCGAAGAGAAAGGGGGAGGAGGAGGAGGAGGAAGAGGAGGAGGAGGAGGAGGAAAAGGAGGAGGAGGAGGGGAAGGAGGAGGGGGAGGAGGAGGACCGGCAGGAGGAAGAGAGAGGAGAGGGAAAGCCTGATACGAAAGTGCCAGAATTCGTATCAGCTACTTCCGCGCAGTGCACGGCGGAGAAAATAACAAGTCTCAGATTCCCTCCTGTACGCCACGCAACTGGGACGTAGACACCCAAAGCACATTGTCCCCAACGTTATGATGCCGAATAAAAGCATGAATTGTGTAACAGCTGTACACATGGAGTGAAACGGCCTTGTGGGAGGAATTGGAAGGAGAACAACATAAGAAATGGCGGAACGACCGATTGCATAAATCGAGGTGCAAATAACGACGGCTTGCCTCTGAGAAGACAAGACAACACCCCAAGAATGCTCGATCGAATCGGAGACTGAAGTATTGCAACGTACTTTTTCGTCTGCAGGCCCGCGAAGCAAGTCGAAAACCGTCCGATCACTAGCTGGGCCGCGATTGGGCAGCAGGAAAAGAGAGGGGCAAGCGAAACGAACGCGCGGGCAGCCACTCAGAAGGAGCACCGGGAGCGGCACTCCAAACCCGGTGGCGTGGAAATCCCATGGCAACCATCAAATAAACGCAGCCAAAATAGCGCGGCGGCGCGACCGTTTTGCAAAATGCGCATGGGGTTTCCTTTTGGAAGCGCCGGGCGGTTGTCCAGCCATTGAAAAGAGTATGGGCACAGGCACACAAGGCACACGGAAAAACCTGGCGCCGCAATCTGGACATGTTGCTGGCAGAACACTCCGCGCAGACGCGCAGCTCACGTGAAAACAAGCCTCTGGTTCGAGACGTCCTCAACAAATCCTCATGCTAGACATCTGTCTGGGCAACCTGGAGGCGTGAAACCAAGCGTCTCGCTCGAGACATCCTCAAGACCTGGGCACGCGAAAACAAGCATTTCACTTGAGAGATCCTCTGAATTCGGGCCCCCAGAAGAGGACAATCTATAACACACAAAAAAAGCTTCGCTCGATATATCCTCAACAAATTGTGAAACAACAGACGTTTCGCGTGAGACATCCTCAAGAATAATTCCGCCGGCCCTCTTCGACCTCGTTATTGATCGCAAACAGTTCAGCCGGCCCCTTTCAAGTCAAAAAGAGAACCCTGGGGCGCAGCCCTTTCCGGGACGAGTGCAACGGTCTCACCTCCGCAGAACGCCCCTTGCCGCATGCCTCCGTCGCCGCCGGCGCCGGTTGACCCCGCGTTCGCTGTGCGCGACTAGCTCCAGGAACGAAGGGGGGGAAGGGGGGGGGAGGGCAGAAGGGGGGGGGGGGGGCAGGGGCAAAGGCCAGGCGCGGGGCGGAGCTGCGGTCGTGCTTCTTTGTGTGTTCGACGCGTCTTTTCCCCCCTCAATGCCCTAACCGCGGCGCGGCTTGGGCGGTTTCGGCCCGGCGGCGGCCAATATCTCGATCTCCATGGTGCCGGTGCTGGTGGTGATCAGCTCCGCGAAGTCGTGCTCGGCCGACAGGGGCACCCACCTCATCTTTGTTGTGCATCGACCAGCCCGGCGCGGCGACCGACATCGGCCATCGCGCGCGCAGGCGCTCCTCCTCGGCCCCCATCTCGATGGGCGCCGCGCAGATGCCTTTCGGCGCGCTCTCGATCGCCATCCGGGGCGGGCCGCCGGCCGTGAAGGCCGACGCATTGTTCGTCGCGCCCTCAGCCGCGACATTTGCCCTGATCCTGTCCAGGGCCGTCTTGTTGCAGTGCTCCACCTCGAGGGTGATGAGCGGGCCGGCAGAATGCGCCTTGCCCAGCAGCTCGTCGGTTCCGCCGTCGCGAGAACGCAGGCGGGCCAGCTTGTCCATGCCCTCGTAGAACTCCTTCATGCTCGTGGTCCTGCCTTTCCACGCAGCAATGTTGTTGCTGGGAGGGGCGCCCAACTTCTGCGCCGACTTCTGCATGTTCGCCGTGGAAGTCTGCAGGCGGCCCCACATGATCATGCCGTCGTTGGCTTCTCTCTCCCCCATCGGGGCTCTGGCCGCGGGGGCGGCCGCCCCGGCGAAGGTGCCCCTGAGGGTCGAGCGTCTGTTTTGTGCCCGCTGGTGGCTGAGATTCCCGTGTCTCTTCCTGCTTGGCCTCCTCCTGGTGGCCTGCCTGGTAGTTGTGCGCCGCCGTCTGCGCGTCCGTCTTCCAAGCCGCCGCTTGGGACTTCGCTCGCTGGAGCGTCACCGCCGAAGGTTTCGGCCCGTGCTCTCAGCGGGGGGCCGGGGAAGTCCGGGCCGCTCTGCCCAAAGGCGTGGTCCGCATCCGAAGGCGAGCAATAAGGCCCCAGGAGTTGAGGCCATGGCGCGCCGCGCAAACTCTGGCGGCACGGTGATGCCCGTGCGAATTCAACATGCAACTCGAGCCGCGCGCGACTATAAACCCGTATAAATTATACAATATTCGCGACGTCGAAGCCAGAAACCTGCGTAGGTTACGCTATATGCGCCCCCGAAGCCATGCACCTGAGCAAATTATTTTCTATTCGCGTATCCGAAACCATAGACTCTGAAATTGCACTATATTCGCGTCTCCGAAGCCATCGACCCCTGCAAACGTTAAAATTACGCTATATTCGCGCCCCCGACGCCATGAACCCCGGTAAATTACGCACCCGAGAACATCAACCCACGCTAATGACTTAATATTCGCGCCCCCGAAAGCCATAAAACCATGGGAAAATTACGCGATGCTCGCACAAGCCCTCGGACATTACGTAATATTCGCGCCCCCGAGGCTATGCAACCTAGCAGATAGGATGGGCCTCTTGCCAATTGCCCTCGCATGAGGTTCCGACATTGTTTCGCGACGGCGCCGAAAAAAATATAGCTCCGGCGCGCCCCGCTATGATTGAAAGGGGGCCAGCGGCAGGGGGCGAGGCCCTTGCGGATATCATGGATATAGGGTGGATTGCCCAGCGCGGAGTGCGTCGCAGTGCAAGATGTGCACCTGGCGGGATCGACCGAGAATGCAAGCAGGATTGTGAGAGCGCGCGAGAGCATGAGCATGTCGACGCGCGTCTCTCGACGCGCGCCCGCGGGGGGCAGGACACGCGGTGCGAGCTCAACCGCTGGGTTCCACGAGGCTCAATTGCCCTGAGGAGCGGGGGCGCCGCGCGAGCTCGACCGCAGGATCCCTCGAGGCTCAACTGCCCCGAGGAGCGGGGGCGCCCGCGGCGCCGCCGCCCCCCCCCCCCCGGCGCGAGACCGCACGAGAGAAGGAAACAATAAGAAGGATATAAAGCGAAATATTGCCCCCGCCCACAATGGGCCGCGTTTAACGATTAGGGGTCGCGCCGGCCCCGCCCAAAATTGGCTGCTCTTCTCGACGCGGGCCGGCTTCTGGCCGCGTCGAGCGTGTGATTTTATGCTCCGCGGTGAGAGGTGCCAGTTCGCGGGGCCGTGGCCCCCCCGCAGAGGCCCCTCGTATGTGGCACGAATAAAACGAAAGAGAAGAAAAGCACGGACCCGACTCCAGAGAGACGCAGGGCGGTGAATTTCCGCGACCCCCAGAGGCTGCGGGACAGGAAGAGAAGAGGAGGAAGGGAGAAAGGGGGAAAGACCCCCCCGACGAGGGACATCCGCGCCCATAAGTTGCAAGGGAAGTAGAATGCATATCTGCACGGAACTGCTGCGGGGTCTACCGCGAGGACTCATCCTGCAGTTGTGGATGCTGCGAGCTCTGCGAGGAAGAAATACCTGAATGTGACTCTGACAACCATTAACGACAAAACAAATCAGAAGGTCATGCGTCAGCTGTGGGTACCTATAGCCCCCCGCCATCGGCGTCTCGGAATTTTCTGCGCGCACAGAGCAGCCTCGGCCCCTGCTTGCCTGGCGCGACGTGCGCAGTGCGACTTGCGCGCGGTCCAAGCGGGCAAGGGCGTCCGCAGCCCGCGCCTGATCAGCATCTCTGATTCACGAATCCGTTTTCGAGCCTAGGAGAAGTGACAAGTAGCCAATGCTCGGGCTCCGGGCGCCCCCGCCAGCTCGGGGCCACCCCTTTCGATTAGGGGAATGAAATGCTAGTCCTGCGCGAGGCCCGCCGCCGCCCGCGTCTCGGCCTGTCGGGCTCCGAGGGAGGCGAAATCGCAAGCCGGAGTCGGAATCCCCGGCCTGCAAGTCTGGGCCCGCGCACCATGCGACCCTGCCAGACGTCGGCATTCCGGGAGCGATCGCGGAGATTCTTTCCGCAGGCAATACGCGCGCGCTCAGATGCATCAGAATGTGCAGCGAAGACCGTTCGGCGCGGCGCAGCTCCCAGCAATCGCCACAAAATGAATGCGCACATGGTGACAACATGCATCAACAGAAGCGCGAGGAGAAAGAAGACAGGACACGTGGACGGCGGGAGAGAAGCAATGGATTGATGGAGATAGCGAAGGACAACAGAAAGCGATAAAGGGGAGGGCGTCGACGTGCACCTGCGGGGAGGCGGACAGCGAAACCTCCCCCCGACGATAGACGACGTGAGATAAGTAGAAAAAGACCCTTGGGAATTGGGGGCATATCGAGAGACACTTCAGGCCTGGATTCAACTGATAGCAAGATCGAAGTTGTGATGATAACTGATCAACTAGATAGCGTACAACGTGTAACGCGAGCCACTCCAGGCCTCAAACGTGGACGCTAATCATCAACATATGTGCCAAATATGCGATGCCCGCATCAATGTAGGAGTCATGGGGGGCGATGCTTTGCATAGGTCGTACTCAGACGCCTTTCCATGACAATACAATATACGGCATCAATTTCGATATGATTGTTGGCAGACAATATACTGATAACGGACCGCCCCACCATCTGAAGCAATTGTGCCGCCTTTGATCGGCGCTGCACAACTCAAAATGGGCGGGGGGAACCGTCGCATCGCCCGAAGCAATTGCGCCGTCCTTCGCGCAGCGAAGCGCGCAACTCAGAATGGGTAGAAACGCGGCGATGGTCACGTGGCCCAGAGGGCAAAGCAACAAAAGGCTGATAACCTGTGAGAGGGATGAGCGAGCAAGACAGCCAGTCAGCATATGCCCACCCCCCGTGGCACTTGGCCACAGGAAACTCCACAGAGACGCGCGCGCCTTGAGGGTCACGCGCAGAGAGGCGAAGGGAGAGGGCAACTGCAGGTGTCCCCACCGGAATGGCCTGAGACATCTTCCACAGGAGTGGGGTGGGGGAGGTTTTGCCCTGCTACTCCCGGCGAGAACAAGCCGTTGCGTCTGCGCGCGCGCGTGGCAGGCGCGCCCCGACCCTCGCGCCGCCGCAAGGTTGAGCGGGTCGCAAGGCGGCGGCGCGCGCGCTGCACCTGCGGCGCGCCGGCTGCGGCGCCGGCATGGATTGCGAACGCCGCAGGTCGCTCAGAGCGCGGCGCAACGCGCCGGCGGCGCTGATAGCGATGGTGAGCGCGTCGACGTTTGGGTTCGCTCCTTTGTGCGCGGGCGCGGGGGGCGCGTCGGCGGGGCTGACGCGCCCCGGCCCGCGCTGCGGTCGCAGCGCGGTGAGTTGGGCGGTAGAGGGCGCAACGGGATGCTGCTGCGCGCCGCTGGAAGTCGATCCCAAGCATTCTGTCGCAGTAGAAGTGAGCATGTCAACGTGGTGGCGGCGCAGTAGGTCTTGCCCGCCGAATGACCTCGCCGGCCTCTGGGCGCGTCGGCCGCAGATGCGCGCTCTTGCGGCCGTTGGCCAGGATCGCCCTCGGCCGCTGCTCGCGCCAGCCCGCGCGCTGAGCCACGCGGGGAACGCGCTGGCAACTGCGGTTGGTAGTTGTTGCGTGCAGCAGTAAGCGCGGTGCGCTAGACTGGAGGTCGCGGCAGCGGCGTTTTGCGGCGCCTCTATGGCTTGGCGACTACTAATGTAGGTTGCGGCTGCCAGCAGGCGTCGGTTGCAACCAAGTTGGCATCCGGCTGACAGCCGCTTCTGCGGGAGATGGGGGGAGTGGTTGAGTTGCGCGAACAGGGGGTGGCAGATCAGAAGCAGAATTGAACGGATCTGGGGGCCGCGCGGTGGCTCTGCCTCGCTCTTCCTGCGTGTTTTGGCTGCCATTGCACTTCCTCCTCCTCCTTCTCCTCCTCGCTGTTCTCCTGGTCCTCTGCCTCGCGTCGTTCTCCTCGCCCTCGAGTTTGTCATCCGACTCTTTGCGCCCTCCTCGCCCCCCAGCCTGCTGGGCGGCAGATGGCGCCACGCGGTGCGCGACGCGGCGGAAGCGAAGACGCTGCGAGCAGCGAGCGTTTGGACGGGCATTCGCGTCGCGCGCGGCGCGCAGCCGCGGGCGCTCAGGCGCCGGCGCGCGCGGGCATCCTGGCTAAACAGAGCCGCGCGTGAATGCGCGCGCCAGCCTGTCGCGAGGCGCCGCGGCTCGGCGCGCAACCCCGATCCTGCGAGCCTGTCCACTGGCCCAGCGCCGTGGACGGCGAGGGTGGAGCGGGAGAAGGCCTGGTAGAACACGATGCACTGCGCGTTGACAAAAGGGGGGGGGCGAAGACAGAGGATCGATGCGACGAATAACTCCACGCGATGTTTAGCGAACGCGTGCGCCGTGCCAATTTCCGGCGAAGATCGCCATCGCATCCTGCAGTTGTAAACCAATGCCCGCGCGCCCGCAAGGCGAGCGCGTCGCGCTCGGCTCTGCGCGGGCTCGCCGGCCCGTCGGAATGGGGGCGGAGAGCTCTGCGGAACTCGATCCATTCGGATCGTTGGGCGCCGGCGCAACAACCAGTGCAGACGGTTATCAGACCGCTAGATTCGCGGCGCGGACCGATGGGGCGCGCTCTTGACGAGGGGGCGCCGCGCCGTTGAGCCCGTCGGCCAGACCTCGATGGGGGCGCTCCTCCGCGGGGCGGCCCAGCAAGCGACGCCGCGCCGGGCCAGTCAAATGCCGAACCCGCAGCGGGTTGCACGCAAGTAGATCGCGCCAAAGGCGGGCGCATGGCTGAGGGGCGGCGCACAGACAGGTAGCACTGCCCGCGTCGGCCGGCACGTGCCGCACTTGTCCC